CTGGAAGATGCAGTCCCGTGGGTTATCTGATGAAAGGAGGCCCACAGACAATGACTCATTCTTGTCTGGGAACATATGAACCGCCCTGCTTCCTAATGTGACAGAAAGCCAGACCCAAGGAGTCCTCTCCCCTCTCACAGCCAGAATCCCAGCGCCTCTGGCCATCCTGGGACTCAGTCCCCTAGAGCCCCTGCGAGCTGTCAGCAGCTCTGGAGACCCCAAACTTTTTGTAGGGAGATCGGCTGCACTGCTGCTCTATGATTCGCTCCTCACAAAACCTCCACACGTTTTATTTGTGGGCCGAGCTATTGTCTTCTGCTTTTTTTTCTTGAGTGGGTGGGAGCCCGATTGGAGAACTGCTGGATAACTGAACCTGGAATAGGAGCTGCATGCTGATGGCTTCATGATGTACTTCTTTTCCAGCCCCGGAAGAGAAGGAGGTAATTAAAGGGCAGTATGGGAAACTCTCAGATGCCTACGGCTGCTTGGGTGAGCTCAGGCTGAAGTCTGGTGAGTACCATCCTGGTGAGCCCTCAGAACGTGTACTGCAGGCGTTAAAGGGTGGTTTGGAAGGCTGAGGGGTTCAAGCATTTTATTTTAAGCTTGATCATCTTTTAAAGTATTTCTTTGTATCTCTGTGTCAGCTTCTCAGTGCTGGGGATGGGGGGTCATCCTAGCCTGTCTGTGCAGGGTAGGTGGAGGTAGAGGGTCACTTCTTGGCTTCCCACCAGGGCCAAAGTTTTTCCCAAATCGACTCTAGGGGTCACCCTGGGGGTGGATTGTAGTGTGCAGGAGACCTGTGCTCCATCAGGTGCACCAGCTTGGGGTGGGGGGGGGGAGCAGAAGGAGGCAGGACTAGAACGATGACCATGCGTCTTTGTTTTCTTGCGCGCTTTATTTTTGTGTTTTATGTTATTTTACCTGTCATCTCACTTTTACTACTTCTAAAATGGTTCACATCATTTTCTCACTTTTCTACTTGCTTTTTTTTTTTTTTAATTGAGGTAAAATATGGAGAGAACAGAACAAATGTCACCAAGTCAACAGTTGTACCGTGTCTAATTTTGTGACGGGGGTTAGATTCCCTGCGCAGCCACCACAACTCTCCTTTGCAGGCACCCCACCCCTCATAACGGGAGCTCAGTGCCCAATGTGCTGACACCCCGTCCCCCTAGCCTGGGTGCTTCTTGAGGGAGAGGAGCTGGGACTGGCAGCAGCTTTCCAGGGAGAGGAACATGCACTCAGCAGACTGAGTGTGAGGTTCAGACTCTGGTTCTGAGGAAGAATGGAGACTGCAATGTCTGCTGGGGAAAGGAGAGGACGTTACCTGCTCCGTGTGACAGCTGACTGAGTGGTCACTTCCGGTTCTCTGTGTTCTGTCATGGCCACACCCTGGTCACCCTTCTGATTCCTTCTAGCTCCCTGAGAGCCAGGATACTGGGGGTGGGAAGGGGATCTGATTTATTCCCTCCCACCCCCCTACCCCCAGTGTCATCAGTGATGGCTGGTTGTGGAAAGAGCGTCTATGATTTGTGTGTAGGAAATGCTCCTTGTTCTCGGTCCCGTTTGGTGGACTTGGGGATATCTGTGGATCACCCACCCTCAGTCCTGGGTGACTGCCGGAGCAGAGCATGGCCCGTTCTCCATGTCTACAGCCGATGTTCTCCCATACTGAGGACCTTGAATGCTGACAGACAACACTTACGTCTGCCACTACTTTATTGGATCTTTCTTTCGAGGAATGTGTGTTCTTGAGCTGTGATTATTAAAATGAGCCTTCCCAAATTTTGTTGTGGGCCGTCATGTCAGTTCAGACTCATAGTAATCCTCTGTAGGATATTTGAGGCTACAAATCTTTACAGGGGCAGAAAACCTCATCATTCTCCCGAGGAGTGGCTGCTAGATTCGAACTGCTGACTTTGTGGTTAACAGCCCAACATGTAATCCACTATGTCACTGGTGAACCTCATTTCCAAATAATGTTTGGGAAAAAACCACACAGCAAAACATATTCATTAAATGCCTGGTTTCTGCCAAATGCTAGATATAGACTTTCACTTAAACCCAAACAACCAAGTCCACTGCCTTTGAGCTGATTCTGACTTGCAGGGATCCTGTCCAGCGTTTCCAAGACCGCAGATCCTTATGGGAGCAGAAAACCTCATCTTTCCCCTGAGGAATAGCTGATGACTTTGAACTGCTGACCTTGCAGTTAATAGTCCCGTGCTTATTCTACAGCATCTAAAGTTGAACTGATGTATCTTTAACACCATTTTCCAGTAACAAAAGTAAGCTTGAAGAGTAACAATGATGTACTTAGAGTAATAAGTTACCAGTAATAACCTTAGCCCTGGCTTCAAAATGTTTAAGCACACAGCTGTTAACCAGAAGGTCAGCAGTTCAAACCGCAGCTGCTCTGCACTGGAAAGACCAGTAAAGATGGTAGCTTCGGACACTCTGGGATGGCTCTGCTCGTGGAGTTGCTGAGTCAAAATTGACTCCGTGGCACCAACAACATTAAGAAGCTTGGTTGTTGTTGTTAAGTGCTGTTGAGTTGGTTCTGACTCTTAGCAACACTGTATAGGGTTTGAACCATCAACCTTGTGTTAACAGTCCAGTGCATATTCAAGTCCAGATCTACTGCCTTTATGCACTAGTTTTGTCTTTAAAAATGTGCTGCCCTAAAGCTATCCTGTGGATATTCCCTCCAGTAGTCTTTCGGAGGTTACAAAAATGGCCTTCAATCAAGATAATGGTGGCGATGGAAGTAGTGATGATGATGGTGTTGGTGGTGGAAGTGAAGGTAGAGATGGTAAGGGTGGTAGACAAAGTGGTGTTGGTGGAGGTGTTGATAGAGGTGGTGATAGTAATAGTAGAGGCGGTGATGGAGGAGGTGGAAGATGTGATGGTGGTGGTGGTGGACATGGTGGTGGACATGGTGGTGGAGATGGTGGTGGTAGTGGAGGTGGTGGATGTGATAGTTGAGGTGGTGATGGTAATGGTAGAGGTGGTGATGGCGGTGGTAGAGATGGTAATGGTGGAGTTGGTGGTGTTGGTAATGGTGGAGGTGATAGTAATGGTGGAGGTGGTGATGGTAATTGTAGAGGTGGTGATGGTAATGGTAGAGGTGGTGATGGCGGTGGTAGAGATGGTAATGGTGGAGTTGGTGGTGTTGGTAATGGTGGTGTTGGTAATGGTGGAGGTGATAGTAATGGTGGAGGTGGTGATGGTAATTGTAGAGGTGGTGATGGTAATGGTGGACGTGGTGGTGTTATGGTGGAGGTGGTGTAGAGGTAGAATTCTGAGATGTCTAGTCTGGGGAAGGCTCAGGGCCATCACTTCATGGGCAGGAAGCCTGGAGCTCCTGATGTGATCATGAGAGCGTCTTGTGTGAACACAAGAACAGAGACTGTAGCTGCCCTGGGGCTGAGACTGGATGGGTCTGGCTGAGACTAGATGGGTCTGGCTGAGACTGGATGGGTCTGGCTGAGCAAACAAGCAGTGCCAGAAGCATAGAAGTAGCCCTGTCACTGTAGAGAGGAGGCATTGTGCCCACTTGTATTGGATTGCAATCCCAGCAGCCAGCCCTCAGCCAGAAGACAAACCATCTGATCTCACATGGAGCTCACTCCTGCAGGGCCAGCTGAGACTTGGAGTTGGATTTTGAAGACCTCCCTGCTGGGGGTAGAATTCCTAAGCATTCCCTTCCTCCCCCTCGTTGTTCAGGAGTGTCTGCACTCAGCCTTCTGTCTCTAGAGGGTGTGTATGTGTCCTGGTCTAGGTGGTTGTTGTTGTTAAGTGCCGTTGAGTTGACTCCAACCCATAGCGACTCTGTATAGGGTTTCCGAGGAGCAGCTGGTGAGCTTGAACCGCCAACCTTGCTGTTCAAACGGTTTTGCAGTCTGGCGCATTAACCCACAGCGCCACACCAGAAGGAGCTCTGGTAGTGTTAGTGGGTCTAGATGGTAGCGGACGTCTTTTTGCCTTGTGATCCTTGGCTTGAGCCCTCCCCCATCGACCCTGGCCTGTTCCCTCTGACCTACCTAACCAGAGTGTGAGCTGAAAGGACAAAGGGCCCAGGGAAAGTGAGTCTCTTCTCTGAGGTGCTCAGGTTGGACCCACAGCCTGATCTGACTTCCCAGAACCACCAGAACAAAGCACCACAGACTAGCTGGTTTATAAGAACAAATATATTCCCTTACAGTTGTGGAGGCTAGAAGTTCTCATTCCAGACATCACTGGTCCAGGCTCCCTCTGAAGGCTCTAAGTGAAGTTCTTTCCTTGCATCTCCCAGCTTCTGGTAGTTTCTGGAAACCTTGGGCGTTCTTTGGATTATAGACACATCCCTCCAACCTCTGCCACCATCTGTTCATGTTTAAACCCAGAAGAGAGCATCCTTCTGCATATGTGGTTGCCGAGAGACCCAAAAAGTGACCAGGAGTTAATCTGAGAAATATTAGTTTATTTCTGAAAAAGAAAAGATGGTTTATAACAGGGAAGCTTTTTGACCAGGATGAGAACAGTAACTGTCCCCAGTGGTGGATGGTTGGATAGTCAAGATTCTGTGTGAAGGACAAGGCTAGGGTCTTTTTATATTATGGAATAGAAAAGCTTCATGCTTCAGGGCAGTTAAGGATGGTGCAGAACACCAAAAAGGCAGGAAAACCACAAGGTGCCCAACTGCTTGCTTGCCGCTCCCTAGAGAACAAAGAGTTTGGGTTTGCCTAGTGGGAGGAGTAGCAGTCAGAAGCAGGGAAGGGAGTATGAGGTAAGGTTTGGGCTGATACTAAGGGGGACCAGTTTGGAGTATTTGTGTTCTATCCCTACAGCATCTCCATAGGGCAGTAGCCTCTCCTTGTCTTGTCTTGTCTTTTACAAAGACTCTGTTTTTATTGGAAGGGGCCCTGGTAGCACCCTGGGTTAAGAGTTGAGCTACCAATGAAAGGTCAGCTGTTCAAAGCCGTTCAGCTACTCCTCAGTAGAAAGATGAGTTCTCTGCTCCCTTTCAGAGGAAACCCAAAGGAGCTGAAGTCCATGGTGTCGCTGGGTGGGTTTGAACCAGCACCAACTCAACTTGTACTTGTGTACAAACACAGTAACCTCAGGACTGAAGTGACAAAAACCATACACTGAGTAGAACACAGGCATGTTCCAGTGATAAATATTCCTCGGGGGTTCCTTAAATTCATCTTTGAAGGAGCAAAAAGTCTCATCTTTCTCACATGGAGTGG